GAGGGTATTGTTCCAGGTATGGATCTGGGGGTTCCGACTGGAGCAGGCTGGGTCCAGCTGGGTAACCTACACAGGGTGACAAACGTAACTGCCCTCAGGGGTGGCTCGAGGAACCCCCCCTCCGACGCTTAAGTTAGAATGTGTCTAGAGAGAGAAAGTGTACTTAGATAGATAGATAGATAGATAGATAGATAGATAGATAGATAGATAGATAGATAGATAGATAGATAGATAGATAGATAGATAGATAGATAGATAAAAAAAAAAAAAAAAAAAAAAAATAGATAGATAGAAATAGATAGATAGATAGATAGATAGATAGATAGAAAAAAAAAAAAAAAAAAAAAAAAAAAAAAAAGATAGATAGATAGATAGATAGATAGATAGATAGATAGATAGATAGATAGATAGATAGATAGATAGATAGATAGATAGATAGATAGATAGATAGATAGATAGATAGATAGATAGATAGATAGATAGATAGATAGATAGATAGATAGATAGATAGATAGATAGATAGATAGATAGATAGATAGATAGATAGATAGATAGATAGATAGATAGATAGATAGATAGATAGATAGATAGATAGATAGATAGATAGATAGATAGATAGATAGATAGATAGATAGATAGATAGATAGATAGATAGATAGATAGATAGATAGATAGATAGATAGATAGATAGATAGATAGATAGATAGATAGATAGATAGATAGATAGATAGATAGATAGATAGATAGATAGATAGATAGATAGATAGATAGATAGATAGATAGATAGATAGATAGATAGATAGATAGATAGATAGATAGATAGATAGATAGATAGATAGATAGATAGATAGATAGATAGATAGATAGATAGATAGATAGATAGATAGATAGATAGATAGATAGATAGATAGATAGATAGATAGAGAGAGAGAGAGAGAAAGTGTGTGTGTGTGTGTAATAACTCATGTGTCTAACCTCTTTTCCGTTGTATTTGGTTCCTTATTTGTAGTCGTACGGTCTCCTTTAGGCGGAGTCATACTTGGTCAGCCTGTAAGTCGACTCTATCGAGCTGGTGAGCCCCTCTGAGTATTCTTCTAGCGATGAGTGCGCACCCTGTGAGCAAGGCTGGGAGCGCGGTGATAGCTCAGCAGGAGCTATCCCATACAACTAGCCCCTCAAGAGGTGGTATAAGGTCACTCATGCCAGCTCTTGATTAATTGGCCCGTCCCCACTGGATGAGCTCGGCTGGAAGGAAATAGCTCAGCAGGAGCTATCCTATACAACTAGCCCCTCAAGAGGTGGTATGAGGTCACTCGTGTCAGCTGTTTTGAGCGTGTAACCTTTTCGGTAGTCACTCAACAAGTCGTCCGGCTGAGATATCCTCCCTACAATTATCCCCTCAAGTCTCAGGAGTACATACGCGGTTTTGAGACTTAAGAGAACATGTTGTGAAGTGCTGAAGATGGATTTTGTTGCGGTATGTGGATGATAGCAGCCCCTCATTTGTGAAGATGTGATTATCTCTGTAGCAAAGAATTTTGATTACTCTCTCTGAAATTTGAGAAATGACGAGCTTGCAGCGAGGATTTTTTATTACTCCCGCTGAAGTATGAGAAATGACGAGCTTGCAGCGAGGAATTTCGATTACTCCCGTTGAAGTCTGAGAAATGACGAGCTTGCAGCGAGGAACTTCGATTACTCCCGCTGAAGGCTGAGGAATGACGAGCTTAGAGCGAGGAATTTCGATTACTCCCGCTGAAGGCTGAGGAAGGGCTTTTTTTTTTTCTTTGGCGAGAATAGTGTCTTGCATGTGTGGGAGACGTGTCAGCCATCCAAGGAACATTTTATTTTACTGAAGCGATATGGCGGTTGAACTTTATTGATTATGTAAAACCGCCTATTTATGATCACATTTAATTTTACTGTCCCTTTTTTTACTTCCTCTTTTTCATTTTCTCACTTTTCATCTTCCTTAATTCAAATTCTTCGCTCTCCCTTCTCTTTCGCCACTGCTCTTTTGCGAACGGTCGTCACTCCTTGTTGTTGTAAGTTTCTTCATTGTTATTCTTACTTTTTGCCTTTGTTTGACTTATTTTTCCTTCCTCAATTTCTTATTTTCTTCAATTTCTTGTCCTGCATTTGGCTTATTTTCTTCCTTGATTGTAGTTCGAAGTCTTCACTCGATTTTCAACTTTCGGTGTTGCCATTGTCGTTGCGTGCCATTATCCGTGTGATTTCTCTTTGAAAGGTACTTTCTTTGTGCCTTTCTTTTATTTTTGCTTGCACAATTGCATTTCCCATCTGTTTTCTTCGCAAGGTTAAATCTTTGTTCTTGAATTTAACTGTTCACGCGCATTCCTTCTCTTTGCTTGTTATTAATTGTGTTTTTTGCTTCCACTTTGCAATTTTTTCCCTCTTTCTCTGTTGTGTCTTTCCTAGATTTGCTGTTAGGGCGCAACTGATTTTGCTTTTACTCCCCACTATTCTTGTCTTTTGGGGATCTCTTGTTGTTTGTAGATCTTAAAGATGTCTGACGCTACTGACATTCAGAATCCGAGTTCTCCTTCTGTTCGTACTGAGTCCTCTTCTTCCCCTGAGCCTTATCGCCTAGGTGAGCGTTTTGAGCGAACTTCTTTATTTTCTTCAGCTTCACCCCCCATTCCCTTACAAGTAGTCATGCCGGGTGACACTCCTCCTACTGGGAGCGGGGTGAGTACTGCTGCTACCCCTCCAATTGAATTCGGGTTGAGGGGTCCCGCTGTCGGCAGTGCTTTTCGTCCTTGACTTTTTTTACCCTTACTGTGAGCGGGAACTCACATACAATGGGGTTTCCCTCTCGCATGTTATGCGTTTGAGAATGCGTGCTATGCGCCATAAACTTTTAGCCAATGAGGTTAAGGCTAATCCCCCTGATGTATCCCTTGTTAGTCCCATTCCCCATGTTAAGCCTTTAAACATTTTTGCTTGGCTTGGTGATATGGCTGATGTGAATCAGTTTGATCACTATGTAGTGCGGGGTGGTCGTTCTCCAACTCTTTCGCCATTTCCTTATCCTACAAAGAATATGGGTAAAACTGCTGAGTCTCCTAGTGAGTGTGCTTTTCAAGATTGCCACTTGTTACGTTGTTGAGCCCGTGGAAGAGGGGAAATATGACCTCTACTTGGATGAGAGGTGCATTTTGGCCTTAAAAATTGTACGCTTGACTCTAACTGGCGTAAGGACGCTGAGAGGCTGGATCTTGTGACAGTGGGCCAAGAGTTTTATGGATTTGGACCAGGCTACAAGCTGGTTCTTCCCGCTGAGGGCTCAAAGTTATCTGCTCCTCTTGACAGGCACATTGTTGTGTTTGCCTCTCAGCTGGATTTGGGTTGCGCTTCCCTCTGGACCTTTCTCTAGACAAGGTTTTTCGTGCCTTCAACCTTTGCATTGCCTTGCTTTACCTTGCTTCCTTACACACACTGATTTGCCTATTATGGTTCTCTTACTTTAGGGGCTACCCTGAATCGTTGAACCTGTTTAAGTCCTTTAATGAGCCTGAAGAGAACGTCTTCTAGCTCTCCTGAGTCTGGCTGGTACTATGTGGCTCCTAAAGATGTGAGAGTGTTGTCTTACCCCAAGCTTGGTCACTTTAAGGACCAGACAGGAAAGTTCTTTTGGGTCTCTGTTCCTTCGTCCTGTGCTGTGCCGCACAACTTTAGGTTCATTCGCACTAATATGGCTGGTGTTACTGTGGCTCCTTCTGAGGCTGCAAGAGAGACGCAAGCTTTTGACACGCTGCAGGGGGCTGGTAAAGGCGATTCGGAGACTACCAGGGGATCATCGTGAGGATAGATGACGTCGTGCTAGTCCTGTTCATCAAACACCACTCTCGGCTGAAGAGGTGGTGGTGGCCTTTTCTTGCATTCATTATAGTTTACTTGGTGAACCATATCTCTGAGGTCAGCTCTGGCTCGACCAACTGTTCCTCCATGCTCTGGCTCGGATCTGGGGGTTCCGACTGGAGCAGGTTGGGTCCAGCTGGGTAACTTGCACAGGGGGACAAACATAACTGCCCTTGGGGGTGGCTCAATGAACCCCCCTCCGATGCTTAAGTTAGAATGTGTCTAGAGCGAGAAAGTGTACTTAGATAGAGAGAGTGTGTGTAATAACTCGTGTATCTAACCTCTTTTCCATTGTACTTAGTTCCTTATTTATAGTAGTACGGTCTCCTTTAGGCGGAGTCATACTTGGTCAGCCTGTGAGTAGACTCTATCGGGCTGGTGAGCCCCTCTGAGGATTCTTCTAGAGATGAGTGCGCACCCCGTGAGCAAGGTAGCGCGGTGATAGCTCAGCAGGAGTTATCCCATACAGGTATAATTATCAAAAAACACTATTTATATGAGTTAAATCATTAAGTCACACAAATAAAACCTTAGAGGCAATTAACATTATATCAATAAGGGCATATAGGTAAACAAACAGTTCGAGGATATAATTGTCCACATACTATTCATAAAGTGTTTAGTCATACTTTTAAAAGGTAGGGAAATATATGAGTAATAGAGAATCAGTAAAAAAAATAATTTCACTTCAGTAAAATTATTTTTAGTTTAAAAATGAAGTGAAGAGAGCATGGCTTATTTTTTTATTTTTTTTGAAAAGGAGCATGGCTTATTTTTATTTCAAAGTTCATTAAAAAAGGATTGTTCGTTGCCAATGAAATTGCAAGGTTTGCCGAATATTTTATCCATAACCTGCTAATGCCTTAATGCTATGACATGCTGCAGAATTTGCTTAGAATAAATTTCTGATTATGACTTTCCATCCGAAAATTCCTCTCTTAGGATATCACTTGATTTCAGATTCATATAACTAGGGCAATACTAGAACACAATTAGTTGGATTAATAGACAGATTAACTACATTCTGCAAATCTTAACGATCTAAAAGCAATCTGACCAGTAGATGAACAAGTCTATCAAAGATAATGTAAGAAATTTACATTATAATCGAAAGCATGTTAGAAAGAATGAACAGAATTCCTCTTGTTTCCTTTGGAATATTCACTCACTGAATTTGAATCATAAGGAAAAAAATTTACAAAAATTCCTCCCCCTTCGAGGGCAGGAAAAAGAACAAAAAACAGAAGTGTTCATTGACAGTGTTACATATGCTTTTCTACTTACTGTTTTTACTTGTTTCTGACTTGAATGGCAAAAGAATAAAAATGCTCTTCGCGTCAAACCAATTCCATCAGAAGAGGATCTCCAGCAGCCATTACTCTAATAAGCTTGATAAATTCTTGTTCACTTGATACACTCCAGGGGTGAATGGCCGGTGCTTGAGCAGAATACAAGGTTGTGTTGCCTGATGGTGGTTTCTTTTTATAAACCATTGTGCTGAATATCGGGTCAAAATTCTGTGGGGAATCCATTGCCAGAAAGAACATGGGTATTGCAACCTTGTGATGCATTTCCAAGTCGCCTACTAAAGCAATTAAATCAATGAAGTCTTCTACATTACTCCTCGGAACAAAGAATAGCTCTGAACTGCATACCACAAAGCCCTGATTGCTCTTTGCAGCTTCCTTGTAATTTACTTGGAAGTGAGCTGGCATTGTCTCAACAACTTTCTTTACCATTTCTCCTTGTTTGGAGAACCAATCACCATTGTTGTTTGAGACAGGAGTCCATGATTTTGATACCTGAACACCATTAGGCTTGTTTAATATAAAACAGAAATAGACAGTAAATTGAATAACAGCAATAAATGTGGTTATTTGTTTTGGATTTTGTTTCTTCTTGTTTTATATTTATTGTTGGTACAATCAGTAGCATCATGGTACCACTGGCACCACCCATATACATAAACGCTGAAATTACTAAGAGACTGAAGAAAGGAATGCTTTTGAGGGCGGCAATAAATCTAGTTTTAGCATATACTCTTTGCATTTCACCATAATTGCTATCGACTTAGTGAAGTTAAATATACAAAAGTTTGACTCCAATACTTATACCTAATACTCCCACTGTCCACAAATAATATTCCAGTTAGGTTTGGACATGCAAATTAAGGAATTCAATACAGTGAGGGTAAGAGTGTGAGAAGGAAAAAAATATTAGTGGGGGGTCCACTTCACATAGGTTGAGTGGAAATATTTTCCATTTCATGTACCAGGAAGATTTTTTATGGACATCCTAAAAAGGAATACAGGAAGATTGTTTATGGATAGAGGATGTATAACGAATTGGAGAATTGCAAAAGTTGCATCTCAAATAATAAAGTTGGAAATTTGATCCATATTTTAGAAAAACTCACTGATGTCAAAGATGTATCTTGAAAAACTCATAAAGTCCACTGTTGGGCAAAGGAATAGATTTCGTCACTCCTAAGATTACAACGCATAGGAAATGTAAAGATAATGCAATTTTAAAATTTTTGTTGAAAAAAATTCAATCCCCGTAACTCGCCTTCCAAGTCTATAGTCTTGATGAATACATTGCAGAAAAAACAATAGCAAGAGGATCTAAGTTCACATTACCTTGTTAGTGATCCAAAGCTTAGTCTTGTCAGCTTGTACTAGGTTCCAGTAGTTAAGGATGGTATTATCTTGGAGAAAAAGAAATCCTTCGGCACTTGAATATCTGTTCATTATCGTAGGAAGCTGCCTGTAAACCATATCAAGATCGTAATCAGTAAAATGTTCATTAAAATCATAATCCTATCAGTTATATTTATTTTACAGGCATTGGAATTCCACGAAAAAAAAAAAAGACAGGAGACAACCAGACCTTATTCTGCAATATATAAAATTAAAAAAACAATTTCATGGTAGAAATATATAAGGATTTGGCTGGAACACAAGTTTGCATCATATACTTGGTACTGAAATCAACAGCTAATGAAATCATCAGTATGTTGAAACTTGACTGAAACACCTTTAAAGACCAAAGTGAATATGATGTCATACTCTAGAAACTGATTTCATGTACACAATTGATAAATTAGGTACATATGCACCTAATCCTTTACCCAGTGCAGAATACATACAGGGTTAAACCCACTTTGATTATTTTCATAAAAAAAATGAATTCTTTTAAAGTCAAACCAAAAATTTTGGATTTTTCTTGCAAGAAAAGCTTGCTGAATTAAGTGCTACATAGCCAATATTGGGAAATCACACATGTGAAAGTTGTGGCTGATATGAGAATCTTTCATTAAACACACAATTGTACAATATAGTAGACACAATAAACAATGAGGAAATTTTCAATGCGCAAAAGGCCTCTAAGAGAAAAAGAGACTAAGTAACATATGCCTCATTGAGGAGAGGTGAGACCATGAGAGGATGGGAAATGAGGTTACAGGAGAGCTAGCTGAACACCTACAAATACTCAGAGGATCAGGAAAGGTAATTGGGACTAAGCTAATCCAGGATTTACCGAGGACATGAAAACTTGATAGGACATTAGGAAGTTGTGGTAAACTAAGGTTTTTTTTTTTTTTTTTTCTAAATCCTGAATTCAAATTAAGGGGTCCTCTACATAGGACATTCCCTTCATCTTTTCAAAAAAAAAAAAGACACTCTTCATTCTTCAAAATCATTACCTACTATTTCCACTAATATATTTCCTAATACTTTGTCTTTCTTTTCCCCCTCATTATTGGTTAGACCTTTTTTTTTTCATGAAAAGTAACTTCCCTAGAAGTCTGAGTCTTTGCTAATATGCCTGAAAGAGATGCATACTGGGTGGTGGTGGTTTTTATGGTTATCTTTCTCAAAAAAAAACAGCTGTCACATGCTAGTCCTGATGATTAATTGTAAGGTTGTATACATCTTGAATCTTGACTTCCCAAAACCCCGTGTGTGAGAGAAGTTACATGAAGTATTGTAGGTGACACATTTGGGTACTGAGCACAAATTCTTGGCACTTTCAGCAGATAAAAATAAAAAACACTTACTTGTATGTTAATGCATAAAAGAAGCATTTTATCTGACAACATCAATAGAATTCCGGAAGTACACACAACCAACAGCAAACTACTAGAAGACAGTAGTCCATAAATAAGTTCAATAGTATTTCAAAACAATGACTCAATCAGAAGGCTGAGAAAAAATGTAAGCATCATAAAAAGAGTGAACCAAAATAACTCTACAAGTATACTAGAGACCATATTTTGTCACAAAAGAAGAATGCAATAAATTCTTAGTGACTTGGAACCAGCTCATGAGATTTACAAACAAATAGTGAACAGTTTCCAAATTTTCAATAATTATGTTAAGAGTGCCATTATTGTCCATACAAATGGCATTCAAAAACAATATATAGCATGAATTCCCTGCAGATACAGCACTACCCAACACATCATGAAATTCAAGTTCCCATCCATTCTATCAGACAGCTATTACTAACTTATGAAACATGAAATAAATGAAGCATGAATGATCAAACTGATGAGATTGACTTACTTGTACACATAATCCAACTGAGCTTGATCAACAATAAGATCTTCATTCTTTTGTGACGATAAAATGATGACAGTTTTGAAGATTCGACCATAAAGCAATCTCCATTCCAAGGCAGAACGTTCAACAGGGCCACTGCAAAACATAACTAGCACGATATTTCCAAAGTTTTTTCTCCATCGAATCAAGTTCCCAATTTCGTAGTTCACACTACCTGTCTCCTCAACCCCAAGGTGCACAGAGGGTAACTTTCTAGGGACAAATTCCTTTCTATCTCCATGGCCAATAGCTGCCCGTGGCCGATTGATTTCTAAAGACATTAGCCTTGGCTGCTGGTATCCAACAGAAAGCAAGTCCTGGAGCCAATCAGCGGTAAATTTCACATCTTTCTCAGTCCAAAATCTTTCTTCTGCCATAGCAAAACTCAACTCTAATATTTTTTCGAACAGTCTATTCTTGTGTGATTTCCAGGAAACCAGAAACTTAGACAGACGACCCACATTCACATGGAGATCTTTTTCCTCCGCAAAAGGGTATGATCCAATTCTATCATGTCTATGAACTGTTGGAGGGTAAACAACCAAATAGCCTCCAATCTCCCACAAAAGCCTCTGAGCCCAGTAACCTCTCAACACGTCAGAAGCCATAGTACTGACAGAAACAGGAAGCATCAAACCCCAAAATGCTGAAGTATGATACAATGTATTAAAAGAATTAAGAGGCACCATCATACCCTGTGGTAAGGCAACCTTTGGAGCCTTCTCATCAAACCTAATATCGTATGCTTCCAACCCTGATTTCCTAGTAAAATAGAAAACCGAATCTACATCAGGAAGACCATTAGAGATCCCCTGCTGAATAAACTGTTTCCCACCAAATACCTCAGTGTAATACTCCTCATGCCCAATTTCACCCACATTTTCAAGAGGCAATCCCCTAGGCCAAACAGACCGTTGCCCGAAATGTACATACGGATTAACAACTGTTCGGTTCGGGTCCTCATGAGTATACTGCAATATAATCTCCTGCCTAGCCTGCTCCCCCACTAATTCCACATCAAAATGCTTCCCTAAATCCCCATCTATCACTTCACCTCTATTATCAGCATCAAAAATCCTAGTAGCACCATGCTGAATAGCAAACAAATACCCAACACTTTTCCTAACATATGAATCATAAGGCAAATGTTCCAAAACCCGAAAACCCAATTTCGATTGCATATCTAAAGACAAAAAAATAGCACCCTTAAGGCTCCAATCATTAGGGGTTCTAGCATTTCCTACTGCAAGGACCTGCCATCCTTTGATCCTAACAAAACCCTTAATCGAATCGCTCGGATAATCCGAAACAGACACAATGATCCACTTCTCCGCCCGAAAATTCGAATATGGGGTGACCTTATCAAAGTTGGGTTTAATAGAATTCCAATCAATTTTAGGAAAATGTATGGTATCAACCTTAGTAGCTTCGGTTTCAAAGCAAATAAGTGCAGCATTATAACCAACATTACGAAGGAAGAAAAGAGCAGCAACAGTAGCAAGTAATACTAAAATTGCAAATATTTTATACAAATTTTCAGATACCCATGTTGAAAAATCTAGGGATTTTGACTCAGAAAATCGACTAGGATGTAAACTTGGAAGATTTCTCACCTGGGATTTCGTCAAATTTTGGGGATTTTGAGCTGAACCCTTTGTGGGTATTCGATCTTGGACTAACATTTGAGCAAATTTCAACTCCCTCACTCAATTTTTGCACAAATTCAATCAATTTTTTTCCAAATTATACACTGAAATTTGACTCTATAAGACTATATTGACCCTTTTTTTCTCACTTTTTTTCTGGGGTTACAAAACAAAGCAGGAAATTCTCTTGCCGACAATTGGAGTATTCTGCTTTTGTTCAGTAGAATTTTGAGCTTAAAATGCAAGATTTCGAAATGGAGTTGAAGGAGAGAGAAAAAAAATGAATAGTTTGGTTGGTGGGTTAGAGAAGCTGTCGTGATCCGCAGTGGTTTCGCTCTTGCTTTCTCTTTCTTTGATCTGCAAATTTTTTTTCTTTTGATTAATCAAATCATTTTGGGATTTTACATTTTTTTTTTCCCTTTTTTTGTTTTGTTTTGTTTTTTTTCTTTTTCCTCGGTTGTAATTTAAGCAACCATGTGTATTTTTCAAAGAGAACCATGTGGATTAAGTAGTAAATAAATTTTGGGTAAGTGAAGTAAATAGTTTAGGACAAAATCATGCATCAAATCAATTACCAGTTTACCACTAGGGAGTATCAATTTGAAAAATCTCCTTATTTTAAGTTAAGATTCATTTAATAAAAAGGATTATCTCTTCCAAGTTCCAACCTTAGGTTACATATTTGATAAATGTCATTTAAGGGTTTAGCTCACTATATGCATTAATTTATTTGCTCTAAGACGAATTAACAACATTTAATAATGTTGAAGAAAAATTGGTGAGCGTCTATGAGGATCAACTTTTTTTTTTTTTTGGAATTAATTACTTTCTTCATTCTTTATTACTTTTCGTCCCATAATTCGTGTCTATATTCCTTTTTGGGTGTCCGAAAATATTGTGCATACTCTTAAAAATAGCACATAATTATTACTTACTTTTTATCTTTCTCATACAAAATATACATATATCTAAATAATCATTACTTACTTTTTCTCTTTTTCATACAATATTCTCTACTTTTTATTATTCTCATACAATATTTTCTACGGTTATTTCACCAAATGCCACTGAGCAATTGCGAAATTCACCAAATGCCACCGAGTTTTAAAAAAAATCACCTATCCAACTTTTCAAAATTCTCCAAATGCCACCGAGTTTTAAAAAAATTCACCAAGTGTCATTAATGACTAACGGCTGTTAGTTGACCGTTAGTTGACCCACCACTTGCCACGTGTTACCTTATGATTAGTCATTTTTTTAAAAAAAATTAAAAAATAAATAAATAAAAACTAAAAAAACCAAAAAAAAAAAAAAAAAAAAAAACAGAAAACCACCTAAACCCCAACCACCACCCCCTCCTTGCCGCCGAACCCCGAAACCCTTGCCGCCGGCGACCTGTATCCTCACCGGCAGGCGCGCCGGTGACCATTGAAGCCCTCCCCTTCCCCTACTCTCTCCCGTCGCGACCACCCACCCATTAAACTCAAAATCCGACCGAAACCCTTACCCCCTTCCTCCAACACCCTGAAACCCCACCTCCCATCCTCCACCACCCCGAAACCCTACCCCCTCCCTTTCCCGACGAATTATCTGAGGTGGTTTGGTTTGGTGAAAAGAAGCTAACCTTCGAGCTTTAACCCCCATGAACGGCTCCAGATTTCCCGATGGATTATCAGGCTGAGGTTTGGTGTCGTTGTCGGCAGGAGAGGCGTCGAATCGAGGCTTGGAATCGGTGAAATGGACTCGCCGACTGCTGTATATGTTGTTGTGCTGCTCCATCTTCTCCGACTCGCTTGCGATTCAACGGCCTGAAAAAGGGAATGCGCCTCTTGGTTTTGATGACCTGAGTGCGCAACTGTCTAGGACGGAGCGAGGGGGTTTCGAGGTGGTGGACCAGGTGGGGTTGGGTGGGTGGGTTAGGTGAGAACGGGTAGGGTGGGGGTATGCCGGACCAGGTGGTGGTTATGGAGGGGGTGGTAGCTGACTGTTTAGGCTAGGGTGGGTGGCGCGACGGGGGAAGAGGAGGGGAAAGGGAGGGGGGCACGCCGATGCAGGTGGGCTGGTGGATGCTGAGGTGGTGGCTGGGGTTTGAGGTTTGGGTTTTTTTTATTTTTTTTTTAATATTTTGGTTTGTTTTTGGAATTTTTTTTTATTTTTTTTAAAAACGGACCAATCAAAAAGTGATATGTGGCAAGTGGTGGGGTCACTAACGGTCAATTAACGGCTGTCAGTCAGTAATGGCACTCGGTGAATTTTGTTAAAACTCAGTGGCATTTGGTGAATTTTGAAAAGTCGAATGACATTTGGTGAATTTCGCAATTGCTCAGTGGCATTTGGTGAAATAGCCGTATTTTCTACTTTATATCTTTCCAATATAATATTCTACCACTTCCACCATTCTCCTTAATTACCGTGTTTTTTGAGAAATAGACACGAAATAATTGGACTAAGAGAGTACTTAACATGATTTATTTATTACGGAGTACTTCGTATTATATTTGTCTAAGCATTACTTTTTTTTCAGCATTTTTAATTTTCAATACGTAAAATAATTAAAAATTATGATCGTACTTATTGAAATTAGACTAACAAGATGTTACATTACTATATTATTTTGTCATAGGTATTAATCAAAAGAGATTATCATATACATGTACTCCGTATATAAATAGTGCAAAAATTAAGGTGGGTCAAGTAAAAATGAATAGAGAAAGTATTACGGAGTATTGTATTAGACATTGAACAAATAATTTAAGACATATACTCCATACAAAATAAAAATAAAAATAAAAAAAATAAAAAATCAAACAAGTACGGTAAAATGAAACGGAAAATATGGAAGCATTCTATTTTTAATTTATTTTCTATTTTTAATTTATTTTTTTTGTTTTTGTGGTGGAAACTGGAAGAGATTGGTGGTGGTGACTGGTAATGGTAGGGGCCTGGGGGTATAAGTTGGAAAGTGGCAAAGGCAGTTGTACAAAGTAGAGTGTTTTAATGCTTCCTGCCGCTTTAACTACAGTTGCTTGCTTCTTAAGTCTTTCAGAATTTTTGTTAAAATGTCCTACTGCCTACTGTCCTTTCTTGAGTTGTGTGAGTGGGAATAAGAATAACTGAATAAGGGTTGTGATTTCACTGAATTGGTATATTGGTGCGTTCCATTTCGAGAAAAAAAAATGGATGATGAGGTTAACCTTACAATTTCGGATTGTTTTTGTAGGTGAAAATAATTAATCATTACTCTCTCCGTCTCTAAATATATTTTCCATTTGACTTATTTGGGTCAAATTTTGAAAATTTGACCATGAATTCTTGTTAGTTTATAAGAGATTATAGGTTCATATGGGATTTTGTTTGATTCGTCACATTGTATAGTTTATAAATATCAAGTTTTTATAATTTTTACGCGTATGAAAATAGAGATTTAGACGTTTTAAAACATGTCTTGGAAACCGTGAAAAGTCAAACGAGAACTATATTTAAGGACGGGTGGAGTACATTGTACTAAAGGCGGAACTTATCAAGACACTTGGCTACATAATATAAAAACTTTTTCCTCCAAAATTACTTACTACAAAAAAAAAAACCTTATTGTTCCATAAAAATAAGGTTTGCATCTAAATTATGACTTTTACTTTATACAAAAGGAAAAATTGGTAAAACAAATCCCAATTTTCGCTCGTTCACTCAAAATAATCCCAACTTTGGATTATTTTTAAATAGTCTAAACTTTATAGATAATTCACTCAAAATGGCCCCAACCGATCACCTAACCTATTTTAACAAGTTAAGGTGACGTGTCACCATGTAATTGGTTGAAAAAAAATATATATAAAAAAATTAAACTAAAAAAATTTAAAGAAACAAAGAACAAAATAAAAATAAAAAATTAACAGTCCCACCCACGACCCCTCTTCCCATCACCAACCACGACCACCTCCCGGATCCCCCCATTCCCGGTAGCGCCCAAACAGCCCTCCCCCGCGCCGGCGCCAGCGACGCCCCTCCCCTACCCTTTGAACACCCCTGCAATACACCACCACCCCTGCCGCGACCGGCACCCCTATAAACACACATCAACCACAACCACCGTGAAACCACCATTTAGCAGCCCCGCAACACCGCACAGCCGCAACACCAAATAACCACCATCACCACCGACCTATTAGCCTAAACCATCAGCCGTAAGACCCATCTCCACCTCATCACCGTCAGCCACAAGACCCATCTCCACCGCACTGCCATTTTCGCCCATATTAAGCATCGCAGCCCCCACAACCACCAATTCACCACCCGCAATCACTAATTCGCCACCTGCAATCAACAATTCAACCATCTCAGCTCGCAACACAACCTACAACCGCCGAACTTCGCGCAACCCAACAACATTAAATCAATAATTCAACCTTCACCAATCAACATTTTGGGGTGGGAATTGGGTCGTGCAGGAGGTAGGGGAAGGGAGGCGCGAGGGAGGTGGGTTCGGGGCGCCACGGTGGGAGGCGGGGGACCAGCCGACCAGGGCTGGGCTTTTAGGAAGGGTTTACGTGTGCTGGGGTTGCGTGGCTGGGTGGGGCTTTTTTTTGTTTTTATTTTATTTTTAATTACTTTGTTTTCAATCAATCATGTGGTGCCACAAGTCACTTAAATTAAAAAAATAAAAATAAAAAATTACCTCTTTATCAGGTTATCGATCACTGGGGATCATTTTGAGCGAATGACCCCTAAAGTCGGATTATTTAAAAATAATCCATAGTTGGGATTATTTTGGGCGAATGAGCTAAAGTTGGGATTATTTTTATGAATTTTTCTTATACAAAATCTAAAATAAGCTTCCTTAAATATCAAATTGCCCATTATAACTATTACATGTTTAATTATTTTCTTTCACATATATTTCATACTTTTTAATACCGAGTCTATTCATATTATTTTATATCAATTTTTTTTTTTGTAAAATTTATTGCCATTATAATTATTAACAACCGTGCATTGCAAAGGATTTAATCTAGTTAATAATTATTCATTGATCTAGAAAAAACACATAAATTTTAATATGTGATCAGTCACACCATTAATTGATGGTGTAGAACTGTAGACACTTCACATTTAAGCCATTAATTGAGCACCTACGGTTAAATTAATAGATAATCTAAAACTACGAAGTATGCTCATTTTATCTTACTTTAAAACTATATTGCTCTTTTTTAATATGACTAGATGGAAGCCCGTGCGATGCACGGTTTTTTCATCTAAGATTTTTAATTATTTGATTTATTGTATTTAATAATTTCAGACAAAATTACAAAAGTTTAATATTTTTTTTTTACTATGATTTATAATGAATTTATTAAATATAAATAAATTATAAATATGATATTTTTTCTGTTATATAAATCTTTAATGTGAAATGATAAATTTTTAATAATTTGAATCCTAAATCATTATTCATTGTTTTACCATATCTTTTATTTCGATATAATCACTAACCTCGTCCACAACCAACCTACTACATCAATGGATAAATTGAACCGTGAAATGTTAGCCAAACTGAAATTGATATAAATTAAATATTTACATTTATATAAAATAAATCAATATATTTACCAATAAATGAAAAATTGTTGCGATATAAAAACAAAACTATGCATTGGAATTTTTTCATCATCTCCAAAAATAACCAAAGCCATCCATATATTAAGTATACAACATCTAATCGTATGCCATTACATAAACAAATAATCGTTAAGTATCCTAAATAAATACAATGTAACTAATAAATACAAATATAAATTTAAACATAAGATTTTGAAAATTACCTGGACATTGATGACCTAAAACTAACACAAATTCGTTTGATGGGGTTTTGTATTGATGCGAAATTTTATATGTGTCGTATGATGTGTTAGATCTGCATGTAAAGAAACATTTAGTAAATAAAACATAAACATATAATCGTTGGGTATCCCAAATTAATACAATGTAAGTAATAATTATAATTACTAATTTAAACATAGGATTTTAAAAATTAAGCTAAAAATACCCGGCCATTGATGACCAAATATTAACACAAAGTTACTAACACAAAATTCGCTTAATGGGGTTTTTTATTGATACAAAATTTTGTTTGTGTCGTATGATGTGTCAATTTATAATGGTAGGTATCACAAATTTTAATTTAATTATAATTAATGAACAATTTGTATTTCTTATCATAATAAATACTATCAAAATTTATCTTACAATGATAGGTATCAAACTTTATTATAAGCGTTTATCACTTAAATATTTTTTAGTATATTTTTTTTTTGATTTCTTATACTCATAGTATTGAATTAATAAATTTATCTTTTCCTATATTTTTACTTTATTTTTTTCATTAAAATAATTTAATTCATGGATTATAATCTACATGGCATTAAAATTTTAGATATATCAAATCTAATTCGTTACTTTTATCTAGGTGGCGACATAATTTTTTAATTCAAAAATAAAATACAAATCTTTTTTCTTATTGGTTGAAATAAGTATATTTCTTACGTGGCGCTCCGAATGCTCTCCAAAAATGCCTACTATATATATTAGAATTTAATCAGGCTTTTTTGGCCCAATTTTCTTAGACAATGTCTAACTCACTTTAATTTGGGATCTTGTCATTTTTACTAGATTTAACAGATTGAACTAGACCAGACCATATCATATAATTTAGACCAATGTAGATCATATCATATCATGTCATAAAATATTAAGTTAAAAAAACAGGTTTAGATCAAATTGAAATAGAAAAAATAAGTTTAGAACATATTACAGACAATATTTAGTTTAGAACATATTACATATATACAGTAGAAAAGAACGAATTACTCGAAATTCCGAACCCGAAACTTAAAATCACTTGAATCGATTATTTGACCCAATCTAAACTGACCCAATATAATTGTTTTGAAAAATGATTGTTTTTTTTTTTTTAAAAAAAAGTTTTTAAATATATATATGTAAATGTGTGTGTATATATATATATATATATATATATATATATATATATATATATATATATATATATATATTTAAAATAAGCATAATAGCATATTGATTGACAATGACTTGATCCTATGCTAACCAATTCAAACCCGAAATCAATTGAACAAATCTAAACCGAAAATGAAAGCATATAACCTTATCCTTTTTTCTCTCTTCCCTTAGCTCAACCCACCCATACAAGGTGGTCTTATAGTATTGGATGATCCGGATATTAACTTGATCTGTTAGTTTTTCCACCTCTAGTTTTAACCATGTTAGTCAAGATTAAACCTCAAAGTCAAGATGT